TAGTAATAAAAATATAACTTGACATACGTATTTATAAATAATTTATATTCAAATTACATCATTTCTATGACCAAGGGCGGCGTAAGGCATGGGCAACGTGGGCCACCGCCTATGCCTGGCGGTCCGAAGGGCCTCGCGCCTCGAAGGTTTATGCATTACTTAAAAGCCGAGAACGCGACGAAAAAATTTTACTCGTCGTAAAACTATAAATAGTTTGTCAAATTTTTATTCATAAAAATGCACTTTCAACTGCTTTTTTATTTTACAAAATCCGTCTTCTTGCGCCACCAGAGGACCTTTTAAACAATAGCTAGTCTGTTAGCGCTGGTAAGTAGTAGGCCAAATTCAATACAAACGTTTGTTTCTTGAAAATTTGATCACGATTTAAATACAGTATTTACTTTTAATATTACCGATATGTCATCGAAAAGAAAACGTGTTGTATTATCATTAAAAGACAAATTAAAGTATTTGTTTCGATTATCCGGACTACCTTCATCCCCAATTAGTCCGGATAATCGAGGTTCTACTGTACTTAAATTTACAATCAATTTGCAACATAATTTTCCTTTTTGTAAAATATTTTTCATATAAATTTGTAATAACAATTATTGAAAATAATTAACATCCAAGGATTATTGTGATAAGTTATGCCTGAATAAAATACAGTTCATTCTTTAATATCCAATAGTAATTATGCAAATGTTCAAATTAACATATTTTCAATTCTTCAGTCTAATATAACATTCTATAAACTGTGAAGTTATCTAAAATCATCTGAAATTCTAAAAAAAATCTTTAAATTTGGAGAATTTTTTTTAAATGTCCAATTTCTAGAATGTAGAAATGTTCTGAATATTTTTTCGTTTTTTTGTCTATTGAGATCAAATTAAAACATGTACGTTCCATTACTAAATTAAGGTCATTCCAATTAATATTATAATGTTTTGTATTGTTATTGTAAATAATCTGTAATTATAGCTAATGATACTTAATATTCAGAAAATTTTGAATACATATCAGACTACTGTCTATATCAAACAACAAAGCTTTTCTTACAATAGATATATTTTGAAATTAAATAAACCATATCTACTAATTATGTTAACATTTCTATTCTTGGAAAAGAAATTTAATTTATAAAATCTCTTTTGAATATGTTTTTAAAATACTTTATAGTATTTTGCTGGTTTCTATTAACTTTAAAAAATCAAAATAAAAACTATGAGCACTTTTTCAAAAAATATTTAACTTGTATGAAACTGGTCTTTGGCATTATACAAACTAACTAGAGATTTATTTTAAAATAATGAAAATATACAGTGGAACCTCGGTATATGTCTGCTTTAGAATACATCCAATTCGGAATACGTCCTGTTTGGACGAAACAAATTTTGCTCGGTATACGACTTTTGTTCGGTATACGACTTAATTCAATTATACGCGCCATCTATGAACAAGTAGCACTATCGGTGTACTACACTAGACTAGACGTTCGCGGTGCTACGGTTTATAACTTTGTTAAATTTCTTCTGATTTTAATTTGTAAGTAACATTTTATTATTTTTATTAATCATGAATTGCAAAAGGGCAACAGAAAAATAAAAAAATGACTAGAATCACAACGGAACTGAAAAAAGAGATTGTTGAGAAATATGAAGGTGGCACGCGTGTTCGAGATTTAACGAGATTTAACTGTTGCATTCCGTATTCCGAGAACGACGATATCGACAATCGTGAAAAATAAAGACATTATTAAATTTGCTAACGTTGCGAAAGGGGTTAAATCAATTTCTAAACAGAGATCAAAGACATTAGATCATGTCGAGAAATTGCTTTTGCTTTGGATAACTGAAAAACAGTGTGCCGGCGACAGCGTATCAGAAGAAATAATTTGCGAGAAAGTTAAAAGGATATATGCTGATCTCGTGAGAAATCAAGCAGAAACTAGCGAGGAAAGCGAAGTGTTTAAAGCCAGCCATTTTTTTTACATGAGAACGGATTAATCATTTTTACATTACTTCTTATGGAAAAGGTTGGTTTGGTATACGTCCTATTCGGTATAAGTCCAAACACCAGGAACGGATTAAGGTCGTATACAGAGGTTCCACTGTAATTTATTTGTAGATCAATGATATAACAAAAGTATCTTTTACTTCATATAAGATCTATATTTATATTTATACATAATTAAAAATATTATAATTAATAATATTCAAAGTACATTATATGAACTATACTTCTATTAAAAACAGATAAAGTCTGGAAAATAACATGTTATCACAATATAATCATTAATCAAATGAAATTACCTCTGAAATTTATATATATATTTTATTTATTTATTTTTTTAATTTTCATGAAAATAAATAAAATAAAATATGCATCTGTATATTTTTAAAATTTTAATATTTATTGCTATTATTTCATTTCAAGTTAAAAAAAAAAATCATTCTGTATAAAACAGAAAAAGATCTTTTGATTAATTTCTGATCTTTTCAGAGTTAAATACTGTACAATTCTTTTCAAAACTTAAAACAAAACTTACTGTAACACCTTGTAAATGTGCAGCCTAATTTATTAACTTCTAACGTTTTCAGTCATGTAAAATGACCTTTATCAAGAAAAACAGTAAAAGTCAAACACTTAGCACATTTGCAAAAATGAACCGGCTTTTCGAATGTTAAATGTGCTAAGTGTTTGACTTTTACTGTTTTTCTTGATAAAGGTCATTTAACATGACCAAAAATGTTAGAAGTTAATAAATTAGGCTGCACGTTTATAAGGTTTTACAGTAAGTTTTGTTTTATTGATTAATATGCAGTCTCTGAAAAATTACAATTCTTTTCTATAACATAAAAAATTTTTAGAAACATTACAAAAAGTATATAGCAAAGCATAATGAATAATATCCAAAAGACAAATTTCATTTATCAAAATTTAAAGTTTATAAACAAAATTATAATTATTATTATTATTTTGCTTATAAACTTTTATTATTCATTATTATTACTGTATTATCATCATCATTATTAATTTCAAATTTAGCAGCAATCTCTCTAGTTTTTATAGAGCAATTAATGGTATTACTATTTAAATTGGCAATTGTATTCAAATTACTGATAGTTTCTTTGTCTACATTGTTTAACTTTATATCAATATTGGAGATCCAAGGTAAATATATATAATATATTAATATACATATATTGAATTCCTGTGGAAGCACAAGATCTTCTGAGAGTGTCAGGACACAAAAGTGATTTTATTAACATAAATAAAGTCATGTTAGCTAAATTAGCATTGCATGAACAGTTTGAGAAGCAATAACATCAAACTAGACAGATAGAATGGCATTAATAGAGAAAATTACATTTTCTCTATTAATGCCATTCTATCTGTCTAGTCTACTGCAGCTGTCCTTTGATAATCCGACGTTTTGTAATCCAACATGCTCAGGAGTCCGACACATCTCNGAAACTTAAAATTTTTAATTTTGATTTTGTTTTAAAGTTAGTTTAAGTTGTCTTATTTCAACTACAATACATTAACAAATAATTGTCTTTATTTTCACTTACAAAAGATTTTACTTCCCAGCTCTGTTATACATAATAGAGGAAAATTATGGCAATCAGTCAAAAAATGACTCCCCAAGATTTTTACATTTTTGGACTTAGGGAACCTTGAAACATTAAGAAATGCTTTTTTGCATTTCTCAATGTTCAATGTTTCTTAATGTTTTCTATATATATGGACATTAGTGTCTGTGTGTGTGAGGCACAATTTTGTTTACCCATTTTGAAGCTTAACTCCTGTATTTTTTTTGTTAAAAATTTCTGAAATTTTTCAGAGAGGTTTGTGTATTAGGGGACTGATGCTATTAAATTCTGGTGGTTAAAGGTAGAGAGGGTGGGAAGATATAGGGGAGTCATGTATAATATCTTGAGTAGGACCAGATTTAATGATGATTTTAATTACTTGTTATTAGCATTTATAATTCTTTATGAAACTCATCTCTACCATAAAAATTAAACTTTTTGCCATTTTATAAAATGAAGTATATAGATGATAAAGACAATACATATTTGTCAATATAACAGTATTTGAGATTCTTTAAATACTCATATATTTGCTGGAGGGAAAAAAATCCAACAATTTGAGCTGCCACAATTTCTTGAATTCGTCAAGAATAAACAGATGACACAAACATTAAAACTTTACCGGAAGGCAAGGACTAGTCTCTTTCATTCTCATTTATGTTAATAATGCTGTACACAATAAACTCTCATAACACTCATATTCTATAAGAAGCAATGGACCATTCAACAATCTATAGGAGAGAGGAATTTTCATATGGATATTGGCATAATTTATACAACAATCATTTCAATAAAAAATTTTCTACTTTGTAGATTTGTTTCCAAAAAACAATGCTTTGACACAGTATTGGCAATGAAGTCTGTGTACAGGCACAGTGAAAATAGTTTGAAATCATTTGGCAGATTGAAGACTTCAATAACCATTTTTAATATATTGTGACGTCAAAGCCGATGATGATCATTTTCAGTTTGGTTTTCCATGTTTTCCTGGAGGGTAGCCTGTAGTGCGATAGGTGTAAGCCACTCCCTAGGTAAACAACGCTGTAGGAAGGGAACTCTTGAGCTAATGTGGGCTAAACGGTTCACCCAGGAAGGAATTGTGGTACCACAAAGTATCTAAATGAAGAAAATTCATTACTCAATAAAAAATTATTTTTGTTAGTGATGAAAATATGTAAATGTTAAATTATTTTATAATATAAATTTACAATTATATACTATACTAGAATATAAGTAAAAAAAAATATAAATTACATCAATTTAACATTTGTTCAAAACATAACTTGAATAATAGAAACTTTAGAATACTGTTCAAGTCAGTCCAATTTATTTGATAGGGACCAAATCATATGATATTTCATAATCTTAAAATTAATATTTAATCTTTTTAATCCTTGCAGACAGGGCAAAAATTTCACTTAAAAGAGTTTTTCAATTAGGTTTAATAAAAAAAATTGTTTCTAAGCATTTATTAAACTGTAGAAAGTATTCATTAATTGTGTTGAAGCAGCCCTGATGCAAAACAATTGTAAAAATCATAGAACACTCGTAAATGAAATAGCAAAATCATAAGGTTTAATTATAAATAAAACTGATCTTTGCAGTATGTATGTAATAAGTAAATACAGTATAATATAGTTCTCTTTTGCTTAAACTATTTCAGTCACTAGATAAATATTAAGTGACTAGATAATTATTAATCTATTGAATTTAATTGATTATTTTTACTATCTTTTGTACCTACCTGTTAACAATAAGGAGCCAATAGATTATAATTCCTGAAAAACCTATTCATTATGAAATGGAGTCCACAATTGAGTAAAGTATTATGCAGAGAATCTAAATTCTGATCAAAGCTCCAAAGCAAAGATTTTTGGAAGTTATCTCCAGATTCAATCACACACATTTAAAAGAAAGATTAGAGATGGGTAAATATCACTTTTCTTCGATTCAAACATTCGAATACTCCAAATACTTAGTTAACTTAATAACCTTATATAACTTAATTAGTTAATAATTCATTTAATATTTATTATTTAACATCTTTTATGTATTTCAGTATATTAATAAACTAATAAAGTAAAAAATAAAACAAAAGTAAAAATAATTTACTAAATTTTAAGAAATGAAACTTAAAATTTTTAATTTTGATTTTGTTTTAAAGTTAGTTTAAGTTGTCTTATTTCAACTACAATACATTAACAAATAATTGTCTTTATTTTCACTTACAAAAGATTTTACTTCCCAGCTCTGTTATACATAATAGAGGAAAATTATGGAAATCAGTCAAAAAATGACTCCCCAAGATTTTTACATTTTTGGACTTAGGGAACCTTGAAACATTAAGAAATACTTTTTTGCATTTCTCAATGTTCAATGTTTCTTAATGTTTTCTATATATATGGACATTAGTGTCTGTGTGTGTGAGGCACAATTTTGTTTACCCACTTTGAAGCTTAACTCCTGTATTTTTTTTGTTGAAAATTTCTGAAATTTTTCAAAGAGGTTTGTGTATTAGGGGACTGATGCTATTAAATTCTGGTGGTTAAAGGTAGAGAGGGTGGGAAGATATAGGGGAGTAATGTATAATATCTTGAGTAGGACCAGACTTAATGATGATTTTAATCGTTGTTAGCATTTAATTTTTTTATATGAAACTCATCTCTACCATAAAAATTAAACTTTTTGCCATTTTATAAAAATTAATCATATAAAAAGTTTTTAAATAAAATATCAAAACAGATGGCACCTCACACAATTTTAAATGTTGCCAGGAAAGTTAAGCAATTCATTGCTGGATTTTTTATTTAAGAAAAGAATTTGTCACAAGTTAAAATAGAGGTTCTGTCTATATGCAGTGACAAATAAAGGACCATTGACCAAAAAAAAATTTTAATTTAAAATTTATTTGTTGAAACTTGTAAATGTTATTTTTAAAAACATTTATGGTGGTAAATATGGTTTATCAGACCATCAGTAATGCAATTGTCATGCACATGTTAATAAAAAAATACTTATTAATTATTCAAATATTTAAAATTTTTTAGTCAGTCCTCCTTTGGGTACTTCTGGTTCTGCCACTGTGACAATATGTATAGCACAATATTGAAGATATTTATAAATTACTTTTTACTAATACATCAAATACTTTCAAGTATTTAGGTTTTTGCCCATCTCTAAGGAAGATAATTATTTTTATTATGTAGTTATTTAGCCAACTATCATGAATTAAATTTAGAAGGTTTTAAGTAGAATTATGTATAATTTTACTGTTTTCAATTTTTATATATGAAATGACATATATTGATTGCACCAAAAATTGCATACATTATATAGGTAAGATATCTAAATAAATACAGTACAAAAAAACTTAAAATTTTTTGCATAGGTTTTTCAATGATTACAAAAATTGAATTCATTTTCATATTGAAAATTAAAATGGTTAGGTATAGGGTGAGTCTGGGAGAGTTGAACCATGTTTTACTTAAAGGTCTATAAATGTATATGAGATGCATTGATTTCATATTTGTCATATATTTGCCTTGTTATCTGACTATACTCTAAGGGTTATATAATTTCAATAAATTAATAAATGAAAGCACTAAATTAAATTTTATTGAAAATGAGATTTGGCTCATCTCTCCCCAAGGGGTGGGAGATATGACCTACCATGTGAGAAGATTTGACCATACCGTAGTAATTCAGAAACAAATAAAAAAAAAAAAAAACATTTTATTTTAGTTTATATTAAGAAACTACAAACTTCATACATTACAATAATTATCTTATATGTATATTTTTTAATTGAGTTTTTTTTAACAAAATTAACAAAAATAAAATTTTTAGTAAACATCTACTTATCTGTACTGTACTGTACTGTACTGTACATTCAGCACAGTTCTCACTATCCTTTCACATTAAACCAATGCAAATTTCATGAAAATTTCTATGGCAGGAGGAACAAATTCAATAAGTTCAATATGGAAGAACAAAACTGCATATCCGTAATTTCATCTTATTGCTCACAAATCAATACCCATTTTCATCTCAGACACATTTCTCTTGCCATGGGTTGGTTATCAGAGTTATTAGCAAAATGAACATCTTTCCATTCTGTCTCACTATCACTTGGCTTAAGAATTTTTCTCTTAACTATGTCTTTCTTAGTCTTTTCTGCCTTTCTTTTGTTTAGTTTCCGAGTTCTCGTCTTCTATTTCTTTGGCTCCACTTGTGGTTTGAGATTTTGATCATCATTCTTTTCTGGTGTATATGTTAATATCTTTGCTTTTCCAGGCTGATGACCTTATTGTGTTGTTTTCTTTGGGGAGCTTTAATATATGGTTTAATCATTTCCAGCATCATGATGCAGCTGCATTTTCCCATTTGCTGTAGAAATCAATGGGACTGGCGAAGTTAGCAGATATATCTCTGATTGCCTCAACAGTTTTTGTTATCTTTTGTGATTGAGTGGTTGGTGTAGTAGACAAATTTTCATTTAAGTTATCTGTTTCTAATAGCTAATAGACAGCAAGCTGTCAAGGAAATAAGTGAATTTTGATAAACAGATATTTCTCTATCTGTGACTACAGAGCACAAAAAATACTTCCTTGTTGAATATTTTGAGATTGAATAGGTGCATACCTGAATTTCTAAAGCAATTCACAATATTAGTTTGAACGAAAGCTTACAACATTATTTCCTTCACAAAGCCAGGGATGTCGTAAATTGTGACTGTTTTTCATGGTTGGACATCATCCAGTTATTCATGGCAGAATTGTATCTTGTTTTAAGAGAAGAATTGATAGCAATATCTAGTGGTTAGAGCTTGTTGCTGCAGTGAGGTGGAATTGTTAATAATGCTATTCCATTTTCCTTTGCAAAATTTATCCCTTCAACACTAACATGATTCATGATTGTCCAAAATCAAGAGTGTGGGACTTTCTTTAGAGGCAAGAGAATGTTTTACAAGACATTTTGTAAATTTTAGGAAACTTTTAGCAATCATCCTGCCATTAGGGTAGGCATCACTGTCTGATCCTTCTGGACCATTAGATACAAAAGCTTCATTATATTTTATCCAAGAGAATATAAAAAATAGTGGCATAGTATCAACAATTGCATTAACAGCAAAACAAACAGTTACAAGGGTACCTCTATCAGCAGAAATCATTTGTTCAATCTAGCAAGACTACTTGCTAACTATCATCTGGGACTATAGTACTGCAGTAAATCCAGTCTCATCACAGATGTAAATGTTTTGTAATTCAAACTGAAACTGTTTCAAATAACATGAATCTAACACATCTCAAATTTTCAAAAAAAAAAAAAAAACCACAACACTTTTCTTATTAAAGATGGTAATTCTAGAGAGAGAACTTTTCCATCCCGTCTCAGGTGGTTCAAATCTCCCACCTGGTATCTTCCTAACTTTGATGCAGTTTTCCAAAAAAAAAAAAAAAGTGAAAAGAAATGAATAAAAACATTTTGCCAGAAAACTATAATAACAATAGTGCAGTTAACATAATAAGTTGGTACAAACCTTGATATATAAAAGGATAACAATGAAATAATTAAAAACTTTTTCACTCCTGACAAGAAAAAACATGTTTGCCTCATTCACAGCTGATATGGACTACAGATCATTATGTTGGACATGCTAGTGGCCATTCAGCCATGTGCTATGACTTGATAACCACCTGCTTGCTGTGAAATTTAAATGAGATATTTGAACTTGTTCAATTTGCCCAGACTCCTCCAAAATATTTTAAGTGAAATTTTTCCTATCTGCAATGGATAAAGGTTAGAAATATAAAGATCTTCAAAACTTTGCTGGTTATAATGGAACTTTCAAAATTATGTTCAAGTGAAAAATAATTTCTTTCAAATGTTGCAATTAACCAAAATATATTCTAAGACTACGATTCGAATAGCTTTTAAATTATTATTCAATTTAGGATGAATTATTAATGAACAATATATCATTTTGAGACAATAAGAGACAAAATTATCTAAAAAAATTTGAATAAAACTAGGTCTTCTGTCAATTTTAAATGCTAGAATAGCTTAAAAATTTATCAAATATAATCTTAAGATTGATTAGACAAATAAAAAATAGGCAAAAATTCTTGTAGTAAGGACTGTAACAATAAAAATCTGTAAAATTCAAAAGATAATAACTTTTTTATTTGTAATATAATCAAAAAGATTTTATTTTTATTTAAAAGTTTGTTTTTTAAAATACATTTAAGACTTAAATATTATAACATTTAAGTTTTCCTTTTAAACTTTCTTTCAAATTGCTCTTCATTTTGACTGTATTTTCTCCAATCATTGTGACTGCTCTTTTCCACTTCAGAGAAAAAATCCTTAATGTTATCTTCTGGTTTTTTAGTTTACTTTTTACAAGAAACAAAATCTTTCTATTGGTTGGCATTGTAGTACATTTGGTGGATTCATGTCTCTAGGTACAAATCAATTCCATGCAGTTCCAGCCAACTTACTATGGATAGTTACTAGTGTATAGTTGCCAAATTTGGCCAAAACAAAGTATGGCCACCATAATTTCTTAAAAAAGGAAAAAGACATTTTTAAACATTCATTAATATACATTTCAGTACTATTATTTCCTTTTGTCACAAACGACAAACTTTTCAATCCACACTGGAAAATTACTTGCCATACCAGACACTTTGAGTCAAACTTTTTGACACCGATTGATGTTTGAGATTCTGGAAGAACTTTCCTTTCAAATACTGTATAATGGTATGAGCCTGAAAGTATTGAGAAGTCAGCCTTCACATATGCTTCATCATTTAAAACCAAATACACATTCATCTTGCCAATTAAAGAATACAATTTTCAAGCTCTAGTTTTAATTATATTCTTTTGTTTTTCAGCCATTTTAGGTATTTTTTGTTTTTTTTATATGATCTCATATTTTCATGCTGCTTAGCCCTTTGAACCATTATTAGTTTCATATTTTTTTGGCAACATCTCTCACTAACATACTGCAATTTTTAGAAATGACTGATTATCTTCTGGTCAAATTGCTTTTGAGAAATGGACAATGTCTTGTGATACCAATTTAACACTCCATTCACCATACTTCAAGAAATTTGTAGCTCTTTTGCTCTTTCAGCCATTTGTCAACAATTGTTTTTTGACAGTCTATTTCATTCATTGTTAAAGCAATAGCACAGTTACTTTAATAAAACTGATAATAGAATTCTTATTCTAATTATTTGAAATCATTGCTATGTCAACAAACAGAATTATAAATAAACAAAAAAGTTAACATCTTTTAAATTTTATGGATTTCTATCACTGCAGTCCTTATTTGGTATTAAAATAAATAGATTACTATTAAATATTCATTGCAGTTTATTATTATTTAATATTAGAGAACTAAATATATTTCTAAAAGATTTCAATAAATTTTTCTCCCATCTTTGCATCATCACATCTGGCAGAAATTCCTGTATACATAGAATATCATTATTGTATTCATTACATTTTTACATCGATCATATATGAAATAAATCAATATAGCATACCTAAATGTAATTTTAAACAACAGTAAAATAGAGAATTCATCTTAAATTGGCTGTGGAAAAGTTTTTCATTGTTAGTGAATAATTTTTAATTTTGTTTTCATAGAATGNAAACTGTTTTAACTGAAGTAAAAAATGATCACAACTTGTCACTATTACAATTACAAAAAAATCAAATTATACTTTATAAATAATATTACTTTTTACTCATACAATATAAAAAACTGTATATTACATATTATATGATTAATTCTTTTATGATTCTGTATTTAACTTAAAAACTTAAATTTATCTGAATGCTTATTCTATTTGTAAGTTGATTGAAGAATATTTTAATATAGGGTGGGCACAATGGAGTTCCACATTTACAAGGTAAATTTTAAAAAATGGTACAAGAATATGGAAAAAACTTTTTATTTATTCAAAGTGCATGTAATAAGGTTTTTTTTTGGTTAAGTTTTAAAAATGATGTTGTCCAATGGGAGGTGGTTGGTCCTGCTAAATGGCATGAATGATAAAGTTTTTCAGTAGTTAAGCCATAGTCGGGTGAACAATGGGGCTTCGTCGTGGACACTTTCATTAATGGGCTGCTGGAAACCCCGAGAATTCCACCAATGACTTCTTCACAGCCCAAAAGTCACTGTTTGGTGTGCTTTGTCCTCTGTAGGCATCATGGGGCCCTTTTTTTTTTTTTTGAAGAGGATGGTGTCACTGTTACTGTGACTTCCAACTGATACTGTGACATGCTGGAGAATTTTTTGCACCCCAAAATGGAAGAATATGATACAAGTGGCTTTTGGTTTCAACAGAATGGAGCCACAGCCCATACGACCTGTCGTTCTCGTGCCATTTTGACAGATATGTTCCGTGGTCGACTAATCTCTTTACGAGAAGCCGTTGAATGGCTCCCTTGGTTCCCTGATTTGAGCCCCTGTAACTTTTTCTTATGGGGGTATCTGAAGGCAGAGGTTTTTAAACATCGCCCTCAAATCCTACAAGAACTCGAGGAGACCATTCATGAGGAAATCGCCAAAATTCCTCCAGATATGCAGGTGAGAGTTGAAGAAAACTTCAAGGAATGGCTCCAAATGTGCATTTGAATGAAGGCCAACATTTGGATGACATCATTTTTAAAACCTAACCAAGAAAACCTTATTACATGTACTTTAAATAAATAAATAAAGTTTTTCCATATTATTGTACTGTTTTTTTTAAATTTACCTCATAAATGTGAGACTCCATTATGTCCCACCCTGTATAAGTGAAAGTATTAATATTCTATATTTTATAATAATATTAATATATCTTTGTGCAAAATTATTGAAGTTTTTGATTAATTTTAATGCTTTATTTATAAGTATTAATTAAATATTGTAAATTGTAAAATAAAATAAATTATTTATAATCAAGGTGGAGCATTAGTGAAGCCTCAATGTGGCTTACAGAATTGTATTTGTTCTGAAAATCTATTTGATTGATTTTGATTAAACTTTGCCATCTTTCATTAACAGAGACAAGGAATTAAAAAAATGTAATAAAAAATGGGAATCCATGAGTTCATTTTCAATATATATCAGGGGTGTCCAACCTTTTTTTCTCTGGGCCGCATTGGAAGAAGTCAAGGAGATTTGGGCCACAAGTTTATATAATATATACTTGTGGCCCAATATACAAGTATATTTAAGGATTAACATGTGTAGATTATAATAATAAATATTAAAACTTTATCACGAAAAAGGATATTTTTAAAAATTACTTCTATAGACACTTTCAATTTTTACTTAGAATATACAGTATATAAATTCATTTATTTTTTCGAGTATTTTTTTACGTCAAACAAAAAAAAGTAGCCACATTTGGCGCAATGTAGCCAAATCTTGCAATGTTGGAAGAAATACTAAATAAAGCTGGAGTTGTGATTCAAAGGATTATAGACCCAAATGAGGGGGAAAGGAGAGAAAGGACAAAAGATAAAGAAGTGAGAAAGGTTGGAAAATTAAGGGTCAATATTTGCATAACAAAAGATCTATTTACCCTTTCTCACTACTTTTTATCTTTTGTCTTTTCTCACCTTTCCCTCCTTTTCTCAAATTTGGGTCTATAATCCTTTGAGTCATAACTCCAGCTCTATTTAGTAATCCTTCCTCATTCACACATCTCCAAGTATTTGAAAATATTTCCTTTTCACTCAAAAATAAAATATAAATAAAGGTTTACGGCTTTGTGAAACTTCTTTTTTGAGTTTATGCCGTTGAAATAAATAAATAATAAAAAAATTAAAACATTTGTTGGTTTTGTTTACATGTTTATTGGGCAGCATTGGAACTTTCCTTGGACACCCGATATATATGATTGTAACACAAGTGTGCCTGACAAAGCAATGTTGTGTAATGTTCCATGGTTGCTAGCATGCCTTCTATGGGCTTATAGAATTAAGTTCATTATGAAAATTTAATGGGCCAATTTTGATAAAACTTTGCCATTTTTCCATTAATTGTGACAAGGAATCCAAAATGTAATGAGGGTCCATTTAAATGTAAAAAATAGAAATCCATGACTTTGTTTTCAATATACAGAGGGTTAAAGTGACAATGTCCATGCTCTCTGATGTGACTGAAGTGCCTAATGGAAAACAGGTACAAGAAATGAACAAAGCAATCTCAATCAATTGCTTTGTTCTTCGATCGCTTTTCTATATTGAAGATGTGAGGATAGCCTCTCCTATGGCCAACAATTACAAGAATAGCCTCTTTTGTGGAGGCAAGTGCAAAGTTCACCTGTCTGCGACTATCAGATATAAGGATTACCTCTTCTGTACCTAACAAATGCAAGGATTGCTTCTTTTTTCCAGCTCTGCCTCAATTCTGTCACAATATGACAAAATCATGCAATGTTCTAGCTTATTTTATCTTAGTATTTTTAATTCTATTTTCTATTTAAATTTTGTTGAATTAAAAGTGTAGTCATATTTATTTTTCAACTTCAATTAATTTTAAACTTTGTAGAAAGAAAAAGAGATGATATGAATAAACAAAAGGAAATGCTTACCTGTGTGAGAGCGTTTGTGAAATGATTACAATTTTTCGTCATGAGATGATACTGATCACCTCGAAATTCGTTTCCCATTCCTTCAACAAGTTGTCGAACATCACCTTCTGTAAAATCTGTGTGACCAAGACATACACACTGTCTGTAAAAAATTATAAAAAATGCTAGTAGTATTTAACATATAACTTAACTTTTTTTTTAATTAATTTATCATATAAATTTGTTTATGTAAATTTATATTACAATAGAATAATATTAGAACCCAATTAACCAAGGTTTGGCATTATCCGAAACAAACCTGTAAGTGAATACAATACTTTTTTATACTATAAAAAAAATTAAAATGATAGCATGCATTACAAAATGGTTTGTTTCTGTTAACTTTTATCATTAAACTGCAATGTGAGACAAGCCATTCATATTCAAATATAATTACAGATGCTCCTTGATTTATGATATTTTGCACATATGATGGCCAATGTGAGTGAAGTGGAAGCATGAGAAAACAATTAGAATTTGAATTCAAGTTGCTCTACTGATACATTAATAATCTTTCTTGAGACTATTTTTTATATATACCATCTTATTTCTTCTTGTGTTTTACAGTATATCCATTATGTCTGCAAAAGGCCCTGCTTTGTCTCCTGCTACTGATGAGAAAAAGAGGAAAACTCTTACTCTAAATGAGAAACTTAAGATAATATTTAAGCATGGCGTTATGATGAACACTCATGAGTCAGGAGTATTGCAATCAATGACAACCCAAACTCACATTACATACTGTACAATATACAACATTACATTCTGTATTTTTCATCTAGCCTAGGTTATTATTTCTAACTTGCAATGTTTTTGACTTACAATGTATTTTTCTGAAAATGTAACCTCATTGTAAGTCAAGCAGAGACTGTATAATATATGTTTTTATTTTTAGAATTATGGAATTAGCTATATAATAAATGATGTAAAAATTGTTGTTCTTATATTCAAATAAACTAACCCAGCAAAATGTAATGTAAGAATTTGTTTTTACCTGATGATGGCCAATAGATATGACTGAAAACGTTTGTTGCATTTTTATTAAATTTCTCAGCAACATATGGTGTTGTGTCTTGAGTTGTTCTTATATATGATTAATTAAATTCTTGAAAGTATAAAAAGAGGCTTAAAAACAATACTATATAAATCTTTTATATTTATAAGTTTTAATCTAAACATTTGTGGCCATCCATTTTATCCGAGATAGCATTGGTCCACATTACCTCTGATAAATCAGGATTACACTATAATTTGTCTTCAGATCACTTTAATTTAATACAAACTAAAATATAATTAGAAATGCTTTTATATCATTAAATTTATCTGGCATTCAAAAAAATCTGTTCTATATACAGTAAAACCTGTCTATGGAGACCACCCATGGTTCCTTCAAAAAGTGGTCTTTTAGACAGGTGGTCGTCCAATACAGGTGGTGCTGTAATATCGTATTTCCGTACGTATTTTGAGCACTTTTTAGTCATTTCTACTAAGCAAAACTTGACGTGAGCAAAAATAAGCGAATTTTTTCAATGATAGGGCTATATTGGTATTTATTTTATTCTTATCGGATAACCCGATTTACAGGAGTCGTCATGATATTATAAGACAGATTTAACACCAATATTTTAAAGATTAATACAATACTCGCATTTTCTCGACTATAATGCACACTTTCTTTTTTTCCGACTTAATTAATTCGACTCGGTTCTTTTCGTTCGCTCCTCAGTTAAGTGTATTACGTCATCAATATACAAGCGCGTCCTATCTCTCCATCACTTTGGTTTTCGTTAGTTTAATCTTATTTTAACTTTAAAAATACTGTATTTTTTTAATATTTAATATTTTCTTAATTAATTAAGTACAATAAGAAAAATTATTAATTAATAATAAAACGATTTTATTATTTTTTCTCATTATACGATTTCATTACAATCGCGGAATCGAAAAAGGAAGTAAAACTGATTTTTGCATTAATGCGTTTATTGTTTTTTGAATATTTTGCCTGCGAAAATTACTTGGATATTATTTTTCTAAAAATATCGTGGAAATAAGGTAGGTTGATACAGAAACTATTTATCGCACGTGTACTGTATATGAGCTTCAAAATAAATAAATAAAAATAGATTTTATCAAACGATGAGATCAGCCGATTAATTGTATCGTGTACAATATTTTACACCCCCAAGGAAAATACTGTAGGTCTAGGGTAAAATAAATTTTGTTTTCCCACAGTTAAACTTCGCCGCTAATTGCTGTTGTGATAACTTTAATACGATCTTCTAACGACAGCACTTTGCATTTCGGACATTTTCCAACAAACTGAAATGAATTTCCTTTGTTGCTAGACTAATTTATTAACACCTGCACATAATTTCAAGGGTTGGAGAAGTGCCCGAGATGGGTTCGAATGAGAGTTTAGACTAATTCATTATATTAGGAGGTGGAAACATTGTTGAGATGGGTTCTTACAATAGTTTAGACCAGATACATTCGCAAAAGTGGTCGCTTATTACAGGTGTTGTATGTTGTTTTGGACCAAAAATCGATGCCCGCGGTCGCGTTACACAGGTGATCGTTTAATACAGGTAACTTATACGAAGACTCTATGGATAAACTATTCCGTGCCAGAAATTTTTGCCCGTTTTGACAGGTGCCCATCGAATGCAGGTGGTCGCCTAAGCAGTTTTCACTGTATTTAAAATTTTAGCTAAAAATATCACAAATGTTTTTCTATCACAAAAAAAACTTTGTGGCACCAGGAATCAATGAATAATCATGAAATTTTTAAGCAAGTAAATGAAGCAAGGAAGGATAAAGCCTCCTAGTAAATTCTAAGAAATATGTTATTTTTAAGACTTATAGATTCTATAATTTTTTATCTTTACTTAAGTTTGAATTAAAAATATCGAATTTTTAGAATCACATAGTATACAAATTAAAATATTTGATAAATACATTAATTTATATCATCTTTAGCATATTACTTCAAATATACCGAAGGTTATATTGATAAATGATTACGATCTCATCTTGAGTGTGAAAATGCTGTGTGTGGTTCTTTCAGTTATTTGAAGAGATCAAAGTTGCAGGGACTCGTGTTCTGGGAGTATGACAGATGATTGAGAATTTCCTACTGTTACCTTGCTAACACATCCCTCACAGGAGCAGTAGTGTGACATAAAACATTGTCATGCAACACAGTGGGAGTAATGTACTAAAATGTTGCCATTTCCTCTGCATAGCAATAGATAATGTTCCAGGAAATGTTGATAGTATGGAGTATTAACTAGCATATTCTGAGGAATGCATGATATAATATCACACTTTGGACATCATATGTCACTATCAGCATCACTTTCACATTTCTAGGTTCTTGGCTTAACTTCTTTGGCTGATGAGAAATTGGGTGCTGCCATTCATTGGATTCTGGTTCATATGACTTCATTCCTGTTTCATCCAATGGATTTATCCTCTCAAGAAATTCATGACCTTCTCAGTTGTAACATTCCAAATGTTCATTTGCAAATGCACAGCAGTGCCATTTCTGCATCTCATTGAGGTGACAAGTTACCCATCATGCTGCAATTCTGTGGTATCCAAGTATCTCTTTCAACTCATTTGGCTTGTTCCAGCCTCTGCAGTTGTCTCATTGCCATTGTTGATCCACTTCTGACAGTGATTCAATCAACTGGACCTGATGAGATTCAATACCAGGACAGCCAGAATGTATCACATGATCACATCATCATGACCTTGGTGAAATTCTTTTACCCATCATGCAACTATTTGACACAATAATCCACCATATGCTTCTCACAGTCCTTTGTAACTTTCTTTAGCATTACTTCCACATGCCATCTCAACCTTTATCCATGCACATTGTTCCCAATTCAAAAATAATACATTAGAGAACTGATCAACCTGTGTACACTGAATACAAACCTACTCCCACTACATGTGCTAGAAAAAATAACGATGTCACTAGCTAATATTCACCCAGGAGACAGTGTAGCCATTACTTTCTTTAAGATCCTTGTAATATTTTAGTTAATTAATTAATGGTATTTTATTAAGTTTTATGGAAACTAGCAAGGAGACAATGACATTAAATTAAAGTCACAAAAATATACTAATGACATTGCAATCTTTGTGGAATTTATTTCATTTTTATTCATTTAATCTATTATTAATTCACTAACTTTATTGTAAAATTGACAGTAAAATGATAATCCTAGATCTAGCATCACTACAGAAAGATGAACGTTTTTTTAGGTATTAATACCACTAACTTGAGCTGTAGCTAAATACAAATAAACTTACAAGTTATTGCCCACTAAATACTACATTTAACATTTAATTGTTATAGTATGCTTCACAAACTGGTATCTGATATTTTATTAAATTACTCTTAAACCATTACCAGCAAAATGATGTATTAATCAAATGTTTTTAGCTGTCTAAGCAGCCATCATCAGAATGCAACTAAAAAAAGGAGTAGAATATAATGTAGAATGGAATATATGGAATTTGAATTAGCTTAAATATGAACAAAGTTATAATGAGAATTATAAACAAAATAAAATACAGTCGACCCCCCTATAACGTACGTTCCTATAACGACAATTCCTATAACGTAGCGAAAAAATTGTAGCAACTTTCGTATAACGTACCTCCTATAACGTCGTTTCGCGACAAGATTGATAGAGTCTGGACCAATAGTGGATGAGCAGCCGAACTACTTTCCTCCGACCCTGCGCCACGCTACGGAGCGGCTAAATTGAGTTTGCTATCGTCTGTTTAGTATTATATATAAATTATATATAAATTAGGTACTGTACATATAATTATATATTAATTATATATAAATTAGGTACTGTATATATAATTATATATTAACTTAATTTATTGTAACTTTATTATAATTATATATATGCTTTCTGCCGCCTGGCAACACGCTACGGAGATTTTAGGCTAGTAAGTTGAGTTTATTATCGTCTGCACAGTATGTAAATTAGGTACCGTAAGTCTAATACAGCACTAATTTTATACATTTCTTGTGAAAGAAACACTTCTTATTCAACGTCCATAAAAATTATTTATATTAATGATGTCTCCAAAGGTCAAGTTATTTTTCCGCCAAAAATTCGTTATCAGAAATTGCGGCCGTCGTTTCGCGTGCTGTTCCGCGATGAAAACCAGCTTTAAGCAACGGCGTAGTCGAACGGTGTAAGTAATCCTACAATTTTTTGTTTATAGCATAGTTTATACAGATTATTCCCAAAAAATTATACGTATTTTGGAAATGTTGAGTGGAATTAGTCTAGAATCGGTTAATTTTATAGAAGAAAACCTTTCGAACAGCCTTAGTCCGTAAAGTTCCCACCTATCGGGCTGCGATTGGCTCATTCCTACAACGTAATTTTCGGTTAGCGTGGAACGTATCTAAGCGTTATAGGGGGGTCTACTGTAAACATAATTATGTATATGAAAAATAAAATAGACAGTGTAGCTACAAATCATATTGCTAAATGCAGACAGAGTACCCTATCCAAATTAACACATCTATTATCTTTATACACAACAAATACATTAATCTCTCCATTTACATGGGTAATTGGTTTCACAAAATAAAATCATTTAAATGAAGCCATGGAAAGCTGCTTAAAATAGGAATCTCCTACATTCTCAAATACAGTATTTTACTCTTACTGAGGTAAAAAAAATTTTAACAAAAGTTTTTTTTAAATATAGGTCTATCTAAGAAGTTACCAATAACAAAAAACACACTTTTCAACATAACTATTATTTACTCCCATAAAGTTAACTATTTAAAATTTTCCAACCATATTAAAGTGAATTTGCATAAATAAAGGGATTACTGTTATCAATAAGTTTTGTGTTTGAGGTATTTTTAATGTAAAATTTTTTTGGCAAATATTAATTTAATACTTTTTTAACTTTAAAGACAGAAAAGGACTATATAGGTCAAAATGCTGAGTGAATGAAATTATTAAAACATTTATTAATTGATTCATTAATACTTCATTCAGTCAAAATCCTTTCATGTAAAATTGAAAGGTAAAAAATTTTTGTGATAACTCAAAAAAATTTTTTTAAATCTTTACTCTATATTCTTATTTCTAAAAATGAATATGTGCATTCAAAATTCCAAGTTCAATGATTTTAATGACATTTTAAATTCTGGTATAGTATCTTTTGTCATAAAATAGATTTAGTATTAATAAAATTTACATCAATTTTACATATTAATCTTGAGATAAATAATTGTATTGTAATTAAAACAATTACTTGAATCTGAACTGTTTTCCTAAATCATCTGCATCTCTTGGATTGATTTCAAAAATTCCAGAAATAGGAAAAGGGTGACCTCCATAAGCAAATTCTAAAAAGTAAAATTGTTTAAAATAATTATTAAAGTTTAAACAATAATATATATTAATTTGGATTTAAGTTCATATAAAGAAATTATAAAATCTTACCAGTGCCATATAATTGAACTCCAGAATGAAAAACACCCAAACCAAGTGGTGAAGTGTATTCATTCATCCAATACTGACAAAATAAAATTCAGGAATATGTAACAAAAATATTCATATTTTCAGTCTAAAATACATGTATCAATAATCAAATATAAATAAATTTTTTTGAGTTTAATGAAACCTCACAGAACTGCTGTAATTTATTTTATTCTTATATTATAGTCTTATATTATTTGCTTAAATTTTTCTGTACTGATTAGCAAAATAAATTATTTATTTTAAAATGGTTAGAAGTACAAAATAATAATATGTGTCTTAAATAAAAATAAAATTAATCATATATTGCAAATTTAACATAATTATTACAATGATACAAAAATTTAAAGTATTCCATAGTCATATTAAAAGATTATTTCTAGTAAGATGTATTTAAGATTATTTATTTATAATGATATTTATATAATTATTTTTTAATTTATAAATTATTAATGATGATTATAATTCAAATCCTTTAATAAGAAAATGAATATAATTCTGTCTATTTCATTTCTTCTATGATTATTATTTGTCATTAAGTATAAAATTCTTAATTCTGTCACATAACACAATCAATAATATATGTCCATAAATAAAAAATATATTTTCTATATTAAAGTACAGGAAAACCCTAATATATAATATGAATTTTCTAAAATAATTATAAATATATTTAATAAAATTTATATATTGTTCTGCATATTCATAAGTCACAAGTATTGATTTAAAAAATGTCAAATATTAACCTTGAAAATTAACAAAACTTTAAGAAATAATATAGAATATAAGTGCTTTAATAAATTTGTTTTATCAATTTAATAAAATATTTTTAATCACAATTAAACTGCAAATTCTGTTATATTCTGTTCTCTATACATTTCTATTTGTCAAATAAAATCAGTATTATATTATTTAAAATAATAATATAATACTGGTTTCAAATTAAACAGTCATCATTTTTTCCCCCTCCACTTACAAGTTCTTTTTGATATCAAAATCTTTGACTGTAAGACACATTCTGATTTCAGAGGCATTACAACATAAAAAACATAAATCTTAGAATCAAGAAAATATAGGATTTTATCATCAGTTATTTAATGTTTGTAGACAACTTCTTTATCTTTACACTAAAGAAGTAGTCTATGAAACCTTTTAAAAGGTAAGCAAATGTGCATATATCGGGTGTTCTGTGAGGTAGTAACATTTTTACAGCATGTATTAGAAGCCCAGGGAATTCAAAAGTGTCCTATAAACATAACGTTTCAAATGCATTGTTTTAGCGCTAGAAGGGACTAAAATTTAAACAAACTACAACTTAAGATGCTGCTCTGTAGTACTGTTAAGCACTGCAGAAAATCCTCAGTTCTTTCAGCTTTTATACTGTACTAGAGCCAAAAAAATGAAAGGAAGAAAACCTTACATTTTTGCAAAAACATAAGGTTCTGAAGATAAGAAGCTAAAGCTGCAAGACTGAGGCTTTACCACAGTGCAGAACAGCATCTTAAAGAAAGCTAATCTGAACTTTAACTACCTCAAGCACTAAAACAATGCATTTGAAAGACTATGTTTATAAGATATTTTAGATTCCCCAGACTTCTAGAACATGTAAAAATATTGGCACTACCTTGCAGAAACCCTTATGTATATAATAATATCATGATCACTGTCTGAAATGCACACTATGCACATTTTTGATGCACATGTATTAAGCACTTACAGTGAAGGAAAATAATATTTGTTTATACAAAAGTTATATTAATTTATTAGTAAAATTATATAATTAATTATAATAACTCATTTGATCTACTTATCTAATTTATTTTTAAATAAGAAACTTTAATTGTATAGTTATTTAGTTGAAGTTAACATATTTACAATCCCTATACTGTTTTATTAAAAATGTCATTTGTTTGGAAATGTTGTGTCTGCATCAACATTTTTGTTGTTTTGAGAAAAACAAAATTAGAATATAATTTATTTTTATTACAATTTTTTATACAAATTTTCACAATTAAAAATTTCATCAACGTACCATATCATAAATATTTAAAATTACAGGTTCTCTTGCCATAATGAGTAGAGTCCTCTACTGAATTTTAAATCCAATCACATCTGCTTTTCAATCATTTAGTATGGTAAGACCTATAAAAAACAAATTTTAATGTATCTATTATAATGCTGTTAAACAAATTATTAATGTTAGATTAATATAAAATAAATTTAAAATTTTATTACAATGTTTTACAGAAATTTTTTACATGTTTATTACAATGGTATAACAAGCATAAAAACCAAAAATCCAACAAAAAATGTAAATTAACAAGAAACTAATGTTTTGGATTGCTTTTAGCAATTGATGTTGGGTTACAAACTGACAGGTTTTGCTACAGACAATCAAGTTCAAGTGTACCTAGATAAGACATATCTCACACATCTCATATACCACTTAGAGAAACTGGAGATATACAAAACTTGCAGAAAAGGCACAGCCATTTATTAGAAGGACAATAACACCCTTTCATAATCATGGAGACCTTATTTTGAAATCCTCTAAAAAAATTTTCTGATTGGTAAACATCCAAATTCAAGCTTACTGCATTGCCCAATCAGATGCAAGTTCCATACTTTTAAATATTTATATTCATTTTTATATTCTTTTTCAGACAGTTTGTAACCTGACAATTGCTAAAACCAACTGAAAATGTAGTTTCTCATTAAATTTATGTTTCTTGCTAGATTTTTGGTTTTTATGCTTGTGCTATATACCATAATTTTATCCAGTTATTAGATCTATATTTATTATAATGGAGATTTTTTTGCAATTAAATATTTATTTCTGGATAGTATTAGTATATTAAAAACTAACATACTGAAATCAATCTTAGAGATGTCATAAAGATGTTAAAATTAAAGCAATAAAAAAATTTCTAGAATATAAAAAAATCTGTTATTTATTACATAAGTAATTCATTTTCAAAACTATAATGTATGAGAATTTTTTATTCTACAAGATGATAATGCACATTTTCACAAAACTAATATCTTCATGCAAAGATAAATGAATTTACTGGATATTTCATGTAACACCACCTGAATGAATATATAGTAACCATTTTAAAAGACAAATATTGGATGCATTTGTTGGAAGCATTCCTTCAACAGTGTGCTTCTCTCTCCAAGTGCTGAAAAATATTTTGAAACAATGTGTAATTTTATTTTCTATACTCAGCAATTAAAAAATTTTTAATTATTAAACCATACTGCACTCTCTGAAATAAAAGTAATAAGTTCTCAACATCAATTCTCTTTATATAGCATCACCCAATTAATATTTTCCTGGTAGAATTTCTTTTAGTTTTTAATACATAAACTTCATAAAAAGTACATAATTTAATACATCCTTATATAATTTAGTTGCATTGCAAACTCATTAATTAAGAAATCTTGAAACAATGAATACAATGATAATACAGTCGACCCCCCTATAACGTACGTTCCTATAACGACAATTCCTATAACGTAGCGAAAAAATTGTAGCAACTTTCGTATAACGTACCTCCTATAACGTCGTTTCGCGAGAAGATTGATAGAGTCTGGACCAATAGTGGATGAGCAGCCGAACTACTTACCTCCGACCCTGCGCCACGCTACGGAGCGGCTAAATTGAGTTTGCTATCGTCTGTTTAGTATTATATATAAATTATATATAAATTAGGTACTGTACATATAATTATATATTAATTATATATAAATTAGGTACTGTATATATAATTATATATTAACTTAATTTATTGTAACTTTATTATAATTATATATATGCTTTCTGCCGCCTGGCAACACGCTACGGAGATTTTAGGCTAGTAAGTTGAGTTTATTATCGTCTGCACAGTATGTAAATTAGGTACCGTAAGTCTAATACAGCACTAATTTTATACATTTCTTGTGAAAGAAACACTTCTTATTCAACGGCCATAAAAATTATTTATATTAATGATGTCTCCAAAGGTCAAGTTATTTTTCCGCCAAAAATTCGTTATCAGAAATTGCGGCCGTCGTTTCGCGTGCTGTTCCGCGATGAAAACCAGCTTTAAGCAACGGCGTAGTCGAACGGTGTAAGTAATCCTACAATTTTTTGTTTATAGCATAGTTTATACAGATTATTCCCAAAAAATTATACGTATTTTGGAAATGTTGAGTGGAATTAGTCTAGAATCGGTTAATTTTATAGAAGAAAACCTTTCGAACAGCCTTAGTCCGTAAAGTTCCCACCTATCGGGCTGCAATTGGCTCATGTATTTAATCGTTCCTACAACGTAATTTTCGGTTAGCGTGGAACGTATCTAAGCGTTATAGGGGGGTCTACTGTACAATACAATACAATGATTTTTAGCCAATGATTTTTGGCCAATGTTTACATAAAAAAATTTATATTTATGTCCAAAAAATTTAATACATTTTTAACCAAACGATATGCAGAAATAGCCTCAAGTTATATTTCATACACAATTGGTTAGAACATTAGAATCACATACAACACTTTGAAAAGTGACCAGAGTATCAAGAAAGAGAATATGAGTCTTGAACACAGCTGATACTAGAAGAGACATCGCAGCATCATATCATACAAACACCTCCTATAACAAGCTTGGCCAACTTATAATTGATATGATCAACTTTCATGAGTCAACAGTACTAATGCCTAGATAAGACATATCTCACACATCTCATATACCACTTAGAGAAACTGGAGATATACAAAACTTGCAGAAAAGGCACAGCCATTTATTAGAAGGACAATAACACCCTTTCATAATCATGGAGACCTTATTTTGAAATCCTCTAAAAAAATTTTCTGATTGGTAAACATCCAAATTCAAGCTTACTGCATTGCCCAATCAGATGCAAGTTCCATACTTTTAAATATTTATATTCATTTTTATATTCTTTTTCAGACAGTTTGTAACCTGACAATTGCTAAAACCAACTGAAAATGTAGTTTCTCATTAAATTTATGTTTCTTGCTAGATTTTTGGTTTTTATGCTTGTGCTATATACCATAATTTTATCCAGTTATTAGATCTATATTTATTATAATGGAGATTTTTTTGCAATTAAATATTNTTTACTACATGAAAATGAAAATTAATGAATACACTGTGTACAGTAATTTTCCTGATAAGACAGACCTCAGAAAAATACTTTATGAGGCATAAAGCTGTCTATAATGAAAATTAATTAACTAAGAATTTTTTTGCGCTGGCAGGGTGTGGCTGAGTTATCCGGACTGCCGGGTTATCGAGTGCCGAGTTTTCGAGACTCTACAGTATAATATAAAATGATATATAATCTACCATCATATTTTTATTCTTTTATAAAAGTTTATTAATCCATTTTTATAAAATTATGCTGTAAAGCATAGTTACAGTTATTTATTGCATGGTAATCGACATTACAGATTACCTATTTTTTTCAGGAAAACTAAACAGCACCATTTATCATTCACTATAACAAAAGACACTTTCATTTCCATTCACTGCATAAATCATAACTTTCTTTCCTCTTTTGCATACTTATTTTGCATATAACTGAAAATGTTTAGGGCAGAATAAAAATTTTTTAAGTAACAATATAACCTAGATAGAACCATTGGCACAAAGAGCATGTTCCACTTTTCCTCATGTTTTTTGTTCAAGATCTGCATACACTGCACTACAATCAGAAACAAAATGACCATGTGTTATCTTATACAGCAGGAAACTGGCAACCTAGAGCAATAGTTAAAACATTTTATAGTAGAAAATAAATAATTTATATTCCTATGGAAATTAAATACTTTTGTGTTTTAGCAGGCTATATTATCAGCAATTGACCAATAATAATACCATAATTGACTTGCTGACCATGCTTGCCCTACAACAAAAAGTCTAAGGAAGCTTTCATGATGTCATTAACAATAGTCAATTGATTCTCCAATTTACAGAAGTGTCAAAAGCATTGTTGTTAAAAATGTCTTACAATTTATTCTTTATTGTAAATTTTGCATTTTTTTTCTAACAAAATTTATTTATTAGTGTGTTATTTTTCATGCTGTATCATAAATGTAATGTCTTTGGCATGACATGCAGACTATTCATTAGTACATAAAAAAGCAGCTATTTGTTAACAATCATTTATATTTACTGCTTGATGATCAGAAAGTGATGTTTTAATCATTTTACATCCAAATATGATTACTTTTTGCTTATTATATTCATTATATTGTGTTTTAGTTATGTTTCTATAAATTAGTTGGGATAATTCTTCATTCAAAGCAATGGAAAATAGGTTCCTGGTTAATCCTTTCCTGCAGAACACCTAATCTTCCATTACCTTGAGTTCTTTCAAAATTTAATAGCATTAATGTTCCATTATATACAAGTTACCATGCTAAATTTCATTTTATAATCTTTATCTCATCCTGATATATAAAACAAAATAGGTGCCAACAGACATAGTGGAAATTTTTTCCTTTTTTTTTTTACTTTTTAGCTTCAGGGATCTCAAAATGTAAGATTTGCAAAAAACCAAAGATCAACTTTGATATGATTAAGATACCTTCCTGCGTTATGTTGTAACAGCCATGAAAGTAAAATGAAAAGTAGATTTAAATTTACATTTCTGGAAAAATTTGGTCAACTTCAATATAATTTTAGTTAGTTCTACCATTCATAACATATTACTATCTAAAGATTATCATAAAATTATTTTGAAACTGATCAAATCCTTTTTGTAAACACCAATTTCCCAAAGAATTTAAGAAATAAAGAGTTTATCCAATATCATTTCATATATGTTTAATCAGCTTAAATTTAACTTAAAACTTCTCATATTTTAAGTTATATCATTCATATACACAAATATATACAGTCTATGGAAATGACTACTATATTCAAAAAAGCATGTCAGACATGCCAATAGACTCTATAATACAATAACAAATTCATTTATATTCTAAATAGAGTGCTTAGTACAGTATAATGTAATATAAATTCATGATATTCATATTCTAAAAATAGCCTAACTTTTAAACTTAAAACCTGTCTTTATCTGAAAAGTTATTTACATCCCAATATATGATGCCTTTTGATTTTAAATTTTGGGCA